GACGCTGGTCTCAACTGGACCGGCGCGTCCGTTCAGTGGAAGCAGTGAAGATGCTGGCGTCGATCTTCGACCAGACGCTAGATCACTTCGTGACCGGATGCTGGCAGGGTGTGTCCGGTCCAGATGACGTGGCAACGCACAGAGGAGACAGTGAGTGACCAAACGCTAGGTGAGTTCGGTCGGGCATGACCGAACGCGTCCAGTCGTGAGTGGTGGCTTACTAGGAAATGACCGGACGCTAGGGTCCTGTGTCCGGTCATGATCAAACTGACACGTTCGGTCGTAGCTGGAACCTTACTGGAAGTGATCGGACGCTAGGGTCCTGCGTCCGGTTGTGGCACTGTGCTATGTCCGGTCATCACTTGACCGTTGGGATCGGGCGCTCAGTATTTGAAGAGAGGGATGACGTGGCCGCCACCCATTGATCGGACGCTGGCAGGGTCCGTCCGGTCGATCTGACCGGAGTGTCCGGTCACCCCGAGCAGTGCCTAGTGAAGGTGTACAACGACTCTATTTCGTGTGGGCTTCTATTTAAGCCCCATGGTCGGCTCTAGCTCACTCTCTTGAGCATTTGCATTGACATAGCAACCTTGTGAGCTTAGCCAAAGCCCTCCCACTCATCTCCATCATTGATTCATCATCTTTGTGAGATTGGGAGTGAATCGAAGTACATTGCTTGAGTGTTTGCATCTAGAGGCACTTGGTGTTCGTGTTTCGCTGTGGGATTCGCTTGTTACTCTTGGTGGTTGCCGCCACCTAGACGGCTTAGAGCAGTGAGGATCATCGAGCGGAGGTTGGTGATTGTCTCCGGCTTTGATCGTGGTGATTGTGAGGGGTTCTTGACCTTTCCCCGGCGAAAAGCCAAAAGGTACTCTAGTGAATTGCTTGTGGCTTGTGTGATCTTTATCTTATGTTGGTTGTGCGGCACCCTATTGAGGGTTTGGCGTATGATGCTAATTAGCGCGTGAACCTCCAAGTGAGTGAATCGCCACAACGGGGACTAGCTTGCCAGCAAGCAAGTGAACCTCGGTAACAAATCATTGTGTCATTATTTTATTCTGAGATGATTGGTCTTCATTGGTATTCATTCTTGTGATTGATTGGCTCCTTCCTCGTCACGGTGGTATAACCATCTTGCTCACTCTCTTTACATCACCGCAAACTAGTTGTCAAGCTCTTTAGTGTAGCTAGCTGTGAGAGCTTGTTAGTTTGGTTAGTATGGCTCTTTAGTTAGCATTTGATAGCGCACTAACTTAGTGTAGCGACATAGCTATTGTGTGGATAGAAACTATATAAACTAGAATTATGGTAGGTGGCTTGCAATTTTAGTAGGCTAGCGCAACACTTGCTTCGCCTCATAATTGTCTAACCGGTTTGCTAAGTGTTGTTGTAGAATTTTTTTATTGGCTATTCACCCTCCACTAGCCATTAGGACCTTACACCATCCCTCGCTCTGCACTGCGTCGTACGGAAGAAGGGTGAAAAACACATGTTGCAATCGTATGCTTCAAGTGTTTTAGATGTTTGAGATGTATGTTACGAAGTGTTTCATATGGATGTTGCAAAAGTAGATCAGGATGTAGTGTTTCAGATGTTTCAGAGGTATGTTGCAAATGTTTCATACGGATGTTGCAAAAGTAGATCGGGATGTTGCATATGTTGCAATGGTTGTACACGTATGTTTTAAGCTTCTGTTCCCAATGTTTCAATCTATTTTTTTAGATGTGTTGCAAGTGTGTTTATTTGGATGTTGCATATATTTCACCCATATGTTGGAAGTGTTTTATTTGGATGTTGCAAGGTTTCCAAGTGTTTTCAGGTGTTTTTGCAATTGTTTCAGATGCATGTTTCAAGTCTTTCATCTGTCTTAAGACGTATGTTGCAACTGTTGCATTTGGTTGTTTCAAAAGTAGATTGGATGTTGCATCTCTCTTCTTGCTTTCTGCTGCCTCGCCTCCGTGTCTCCTCCTCCTCCTGGCGCCGGCTGGGCATTCGCCACCCCTCCCTTTCTTCTCAATGCTGGTGACGTTTAGGGCAGTGTGGGCCTCGTGTGGACGCGCGAAACGATGAGAGAAACTGCAGGCGTAGGCATCTGAACGCTCCGTCTGTCCGGACGTCAGGGCATTAGCAAGCTTGTTTTTTTCATCCTTTTCTTAGTCCCTAAATGAAGTAATGTGGTTTCCTTGTACGAGGTTTTTCTCTATTTTCTCTCTAGTTAACAATATTATAAAAATACGTAGCAAGCTACATCATACCCCTCTCTTTATATCATGCTAGCAAATTTGGCCGTGCGTTGCTATGGGTCAAAGAAATTCGTGATATGTTGTTTATCTGGAGTCGTACCCATACGTTACAACGCAAACCGATATATCTTGGGGTCAGACTCCGTGCCATTGCTCCTAGACACGATTTATTTTAATTTTTATTAGCACACGTCTCGACTAAGAGTCATGTCGAGGATTGCATTTATATACATGTACAGCCTCGGCCGCCTGCTGGAGAGCTGCGACGGCTCAGACGTCGCGTTCTCGATCGGCGGCGAGACGTTCCGAGCGCACCGGGCCGTGCTCAGGGCGGTGCTCCTTGGCTCCATGGCGGAGGCCACCACGCCTGGCTACCGTCACGCTGCGCGACAATGAGCCGGAGACGTTAGGGACCATGCTGCGGTTCATGTACACCGAAGCGCTGCCCGCGGAGCTCCACAGCGAGGGCTGTCTGTGAGCTTTATCCTAGCGCTACTCACGGCGGCGGACCGCTACGCGGTGGACATGCTCAAGGTCGTGTGTGCGCAAGGCTGCGTGACATGCAGTCGGTGGGTTTCTGTTTTACGATTTATATTCATGTAATAAAATATTATGGGTGTAGATGTGTCTGGGACATATTTTTTTCTCTCTTAATTAACAGGCGTGGAACTGGCCGCAAAAGCTAAACCATGAGCTGATGCACGCGATGACGAAGACCAATTCCCGTGATCATAAAAAAATAACTTTGTCTAATTTATATTTGCTTACTTTATACTTTTATTTCCTTTTTTATTTCTATTTCGAGTATGATTCCTATTCTTGGCAAGAAGCCTCGTATGACAGAAGGAGTCTATTTGATTAGGATTCCTATTCACCTTAAGGACCCCCACATGTTCATGTAATAAAATAGTAGGGGTCGTAGATGTGTCTGGGACGGATTCCACATTCACAAAGTTAGTTAAGGAAGGACCGGACCAAAAAATGGGTGGGGAGAAATTTTACCTCTTTAATATTAGGTATAGATTATGTATAGATTTTCCTATTTGGAATTGGATTAAGATTCCTATTCACCCGAAATCGAAGAGTTCTAATTGGATTAGGATTCCTAGTTATATAAAGAGAAGGGTTATAGGCGGTTTTTCACATTCACAAAGTTAGTTAAGAGGGATGGCCGGACAAAAAATAGGTGTAGAGAAATTTTTACCTCTTTATTACTATGTATAGATATAAATATAGAATTGTTACTTTAGCCCACACATGAACCATCGCCATTCTCTATGTGTGCATTCTAGGGCATGTTTGGTTCCATGCCATGTATTGCCACACTACAGATATACAGCCGTCGGCCCGCCACATGAAACAAGAATGTTGTTTGGTTGCTATCTTAACTGCGGCGCACCACGACTTTGCATGCAATGGTTAATTCATTTTTTAGTGGCGGATGTGATGCCGACTTTCGACGCCTGACCTTTGGCACCACTTCACCTGCGGGTACGGTGGGGAGCCAAGAACGTCATCCTAATCTAAAGTCGTTCGACGCCCCGTGTATATTTGAACGACCGCAAACCTGCTTGTGTGTGTTTGAACAGGATCCTTCTAGGTAGTTAGCAATTGGAATACAGTAATTCAAATGATACTTAGAAGGGATTTGTTGGTTTTTCAAACTATGAATGCATTGATCTTTTAATATGTTTTGGAAACATTTTGACCCATGATATCCTTCACGACTTCACATCAACGTGGTAAAACAGATCCAAATTGGACAACTTTTATACTGCCTTTAACAAAAAGGTAACAATTCAAATAATGCCCAATGTGTGTTTTACTTTTTAAACGGTGGGTTAGAGCATCTCCAAGTTGTCTTCAGTGTGCCTCTCCCTCATTCGCTTCCTGTCTCAATTATTTTTTTAAGAAAGAGCCCACCTTCGCTTCATTGGCCGGCCCACCCCGTCGAACTAGCCTGGGTTGACCATTTTGTGGTGGAAAACGACCGAGGTCCAACAAAATCTACAGTTGGCCCAAATACGTATTATGTGGGCTTTAATTATAATCTTTCCTTTCCGGCATCGCTCTCCAGCCCGTAGACAGAATTGGCTGGACCTCGACAACGTCAAGGGCCGCCCATTCACCGAAGAGTCCCAGGACAAAGGAGCGCATGCGCAAGTGCGCAACCAACGAGTCGATGACGCCCCCAGAATTTGCTTCCTTTTTCTCGTTCGCATCGAATCCGCATCGTGAAGGAAATCCACCGGAACCCGGATTTGATTGGATTGCAGCATCCATTCCATTCGCATTCGCAATCGCAATCGCCGTCGCCATCGCCATCGCCATCCTCGCAGCGCTCGGCCGTGCTTTGCTCGGCCCACCCAACCCCGTCCCTATCGCTCTCCCTCACCACCTCCAGCTCCCCGCCTCCCTCACCACCTCCAGGCCCCAGCTTTGGCGTAGACAGACAGATACAGCGGCGCCATTACCAAAGAGAGAGACAGATCGCGCTGCCCAAGAAAAGAAGCCGTGCCTTCTCCTCCTCTCCCTTCTTTCTTTCCTTTGATTAACGGATCGTCCGCCGGTTGCAACACTAATTCCTCGCGGGGTTCCCTTGGATTCGGCCGGGAACCGTGAGATCAAGAAAAACGCCTGCCATTAAACTGCCAAGATTATATTAAAAAAAACGAGCCAACCTTGATTGACTGCAATCTTTCATCAACAAAGGAGGGAGAGCCTTGGTTTGATCGGCGGCGGCCGATCTTGCCTCGGATGGCGGCGCCGCCGCAACCGCCGGCGTCGCTGGACTACTGGCGGGGCTTCTTCAGCGGCGCGCGGGCCAGCATCTTCGACGCCATCGACGCCGCCATCCGAGTAGCCGCCGCCGACCACCCCGACGCCCTCCGCGCGCGCCGCGACGCCATCGCCGAGCGCCTCTACACCGCGCTCATCGCCCTACCCGCGCCAGAGGCGCCGGGGCACCCCACCCGTGGCCGGCCGCCGCTCCTCCTCCCCGAGGGCGCGGGCAGCGTGCCCAGCCTCTGCAGCTTCGACCGCGCCGAGGTCGTCAACAACGGCGGCGGCGGCGCCGCGCCAAGGAACAAGAGCGATGACGACGTCGTCGCCGAGGCGTTCCGTGTCAAGGCGGCTCTCTCCAATGCTCAAGAGAAGGTTCCTCCATTGCTTCGCTGTTTGTTGATTCTGTTCCTGATTTGCTGATGTTGGCATTAATCCCTTCTGATCAACCCTGTTTGTTGATTCTGTTTCTTTGCTGATGTTGGCTTTAATCCCTTCTGATCGACTTTGCTGTGTGTTCAACTTTCCTGCAGTCAGAGGCCGAGCTGCTCGAGTTTCTCGGGAGGCTGGGGCAGCTGGAATTCACGGTGGACGCTATCAGGGTGAGCCGTGACGAAAGTGAAACTGCCGCTGCTGCATGTGCTTGATGAACTCTTCTTTGTGCCTTTGTTCATATCTCTCGAATCACTTATATAGGCTACTGAGATTGGAATGGCTGTGAAACCGCTGCGAAAGCATGGCTCGAAGCAGATTCGGCAACTCGTCCGATCGCTTATTGAGTAAGCTGCTTGTGCTTTTCCTTGCCCAGAAATGTCTAGTTCTTTATATTACTTGGCCATCATTTTAGACACTAGTTTGGTCTTATGCAGCTTTCTCAGATTTACATGTTTGATTGATGTTATGCTTGATCTGAATTTTTAGAGGTTGGAAGGCTACTGTTAATGAGTGGGTGAACAATGGAGATCCCATTGTAGGTAAGGAATACAAAAGTCAATGTACTCTTCACTGTTATGTTCTTCCTATTCTGTCCTTGATTGATATATAATCTAGCTGAAATAATTCACAGATCATACACCACAATCAGTGGATGCTTCTTGCCTGGATCAGGAAGAAGGGGGTCTGCCTTCCCCTCCAATGGATGAGGCAGCCTTGTTTGCAGCACCATGTACTTCAATCCAGCTATCCGAGGTACCAGACACATAAACTTCAGGCTCTCTTTCTTTTTATTACTGTTTTTATCAATGTTACAGTTGTTCTGACAAACTTGGATGCCTTATCTTGTTGAAAATCTGCATCGGTTTTGAAGTTCTTCGATGAAATGGATGATGATGGAAGTGAGTAATCGCACTTCCTGGATCACACCACATGCCCTGGTGACTCTTGGTTACATATTGCATTGACCTCACTCCTGTCCTGTAAACTACAGACATTAGGAGTGATGCCAAGGATGGTGGGCAGTGTAATCCGGCAAGCCAAGAGTCAGTGAACAAGCAGTCACCTACGGGCCAATGGTATGACCCAGAGCAGAACTGGAAACTTGACCAGTATGCTATGAAGCAATCGCGACCAAATGAAGCATTCAACTGGCAAACAAGGCAGCAATCTAATCCAGGGGCGCAAGTGAAGGTGTCAAGTGCAGCTTTTGGTCCAGGGAGACCTCAGATATCGCATACGGGGCCGAAATGTTCGGAAGTGAAGCCAAAGCAGCAGCAAGATGTATCAGTGGCTCAGAGAAGACCGAAACCGACAATGCCTAAGGTAAGCGTTAGTGTGTTGTGAGCAACTTAGTATATCTATTTGATGCGTATTTTGCTACTATTGGGCTAAAACATTTCACTGCCAATATAGCAGCCACCAACTCAGCATGATGACAATTCGGTCCAGGCCAAGCTGCAGCTCGCAAAGGATGCCAAGCTGGAGGCTACAAAGCGCAAGCTTCAAGAGGGTTATCAAGAATTCAATAACGGTAAGCCGTTTCTCTTCAGCCTTAGGCACCCATCTCTTTCGTTCTGTGCAGTGCCAGGAGATATATCTTACATAGTTACAGTATGGATGGGATGTTTAGTTTAGCCATTGATCAATGCGTAGTTCTGCTAATAGCACCGCATTTCTTGACTGGTTGATGTGATGAATTATGATGCCGTTGTCGTTTCGAAAGAAGACAGATGAATGACGTTTCCGATTTGGCTCAAATGCAGCGAAGAAGCAGCGGACGATACAAATGGTGGATCCGCAAGACCTGCCAAAGCAAGGGAACCGAAACCTAGCGCTGAACGGCAAGCCAAGAAACAACAACAACAACAACAATAGGAATCGGCAGGGCATCCGCCGCTGATTCCATCCACCCACCCATTCGTTCACCATGCTTTTTTAACTAATTAACCGCCGGCCGCCGCTTACAACCTGGATATACCAGTCTAGTGTTTCTTTCTTTTGGGTCCAGTACCATCCATACATATGACATATATATCTGGAAGGCGAAAACTGAGTCGCCTGGCAGGGGATGCACTAGTGTTTGCAGCCCTAACATCTTGTCTCGGGTCATATTAACTCGTATAAGTGGCTCGTTCCAATGGTTGACAAACTTGTAGAGAGATAATGTTACATTACATAGCTATATATATATTACAGTATCAGTTCTGAGACCTGCTGGGACACCGCGTTGTGTCTGTGTGGCCTTTGGTCTGTCTGGACTCTTATGCAAATGCTCCTACTCGTGGTATGCAGTTTCTTTCTTGCAATCAAGGTGTGTGGTCTCTGTCGCTTGCAGATGAGCGACCTGCCGACCTGAGCTGTTATCAAAGAGGAAGAGTGGCTTGCCCCCAGCAAAGACTTGGGCCATGTTTAGTTGCCCACGGAATTGGCGCCGCTGGATTCATGTAGCGCATTGTAGCATTTCGTTTGTATTTGGTAATAATTGTTCAATCGTTGACTAATTAGGCTTAAAATGTTCGTCTCGCAAAGTACAACCAAACTGTGCAATTTGTTTTTTTGATTTCGTCAATATTTAGTTCTTCATGCATGTATCGCAAGTTTGATGTGACGCGAAATCTTCTTTTTGCATAGTGCCAAAGTTTGGATTTAGGGTGAGGGCCTGTTTAGTTCACCCGCTGAATCGGCGCTGCCAAAATTCGGCATACACTGTGGCTACTGTAGCGTTTTGTTTTTATTTGGTAATAATTGTCCAATCGTTGACTAATTAGACTCAAAACGTTAAATCTCAAGAAAAGTACAACTAAACTGTAATTAGTTTTAATTTTAATCAACATTTAATCTTTCCATACATGTCTGCACAAAATTTGATGTGACGGAGAATCTTCTTTTTGCATAGTACCAAATTCTGGAATCAAGGAACTAAACAAGGGCTGAACTAAACATGGCATTGGACCAAGATGGAGTATGGCACAAGAACACAAGACAGTGGCATGTTTGGGAGCAGGGTTTTTCTTCTCTTGACTCTGGACTCTCTAGTTTTGAGCAAGAGTTCTGCTTGAAAGGATCCTTCCAAAACTGATGAGTGAATCTTGCGCCGATGAGTTTGACCGGCACGGGTAGCTTCCAAGCTCAGCCAGACCACCACCTTCCATGAGACGTCGTCATGTATGTGAACACGGGGGGCTAGCCGATGGAGCAGTGGGGGCAAGCAACCAGCAAGGCATTATTGGTCGCTGTCGAGTGTCGACACAAGCTCGTGTTGCATGGCCTTGGTCTGTGGTGGGCGCCGTGGGACGGTCTCCTGGCGGTGCCGTCACTGTTGGGCGGGCCCCACCGCCGCCTGCCGTTCTAGATTGCGTGTCGCCTGCGGCCCCACGGGTGCGTGTCCGCGGGACACGTCGGACGGAGTATCCCGTGGGCCGCGTGGCGTGGCTCACGGGGCCTTGTGCTGCTCGTGGCCCGGACGCCGCCCGCCAACGAACCAGCTTGTTCTTTGCTGCTGATGTTCTGCGCGCTGCAACTCTGTGCCCCAAATTTTAAACCGGTGCTCAGTATTTTGGGCGTCCTCAATGGTTCCCAAATAGTTAGGGGCCGTTCGGACGGTGAAGAAATCAGCCGGCTGAAAATCACTGTTTACACCCTCATAAATTCCTCTAGATTCATCTAGATTCTTTCAAATTCTTCCAAACGAATAGGGCCTTAGTCTAAGAAAAATTTTATTGGTTATCAAAAAGACAAGAAAAGAGAATAAATAGCTAGCGACTGTTAAATAGCTAGTCTAGCATAATCTTTTATAAACAAGTCTCTCACAGCTCACATAACTCTCCATTGTAGTATTTTTTTTATTGTTTCTAAGCCCTATCTAGCTGGTTATTTGTAAACTGCCATTGAGAATGTCCTTAGTGCTTAGTGCTGTGCAACTCAACTGAGAAGCAAGCAAGAGAGAGCACGAGCACAACTCCACAACCCAGCATATGATCCTTTCTGGGGTCGGCGACATGGACTTGTGGCCATCGACCAGCTTTTGGGATGCCGATAATGCAACCATGAATGCATCCACCACCGCGACAGCATCTCACACCCTCTTCGATCAGTCTTCTCAATCTCACACTTTCCACCACCATCAACAGCCCTTTGCATTTTCAAAAAGCCTATCTCATCCGGTGCTTTTGACTCCAAATTTTCGCCTTCCATATCCTTCTCCTCTTCATCGGTTCCGTGAGCTCTAGCGAAATAAACGGAGTTTAAAGTAAGGTCCGCGCTGGAGGAGAAGATTTCTTTGGTTCTTTTTAGGAGTGATATTGTAGGACGAACCGATGAAGTCATTTTCTTGTCTTTCTTTTAAAAAATAATTAGAAAACACAAAGAGCCGATAAAGTCGAATTTTAGCGGCTTCACCCATTCCGACTCTTAGGGGCTACAACCAGAGCCAGAGTCACCAGTAGCCTTGCAAAACAAACCCAAAAGTTTGTTTCCCAATTAAGAGAGATGGTAGGGCGCGGAGTAGCCGGCTCGCCACTTAACCAATTGGCCCAAGATGTGGGACGTGAATTGGGCTTAAAAAATTAATGTGAAGAATCTTAGTCTATGCAAAAAAAAAAACTCACCCTATGTATGGTAAAAGCCTAGAAATAAAAAGTTCTTACTAAGAATAAGTCATTAGGCTATATGTGGCAGAATCGTTCGAAATAACACGCTTTCGGAGGCGCTCGTCTTCCACTAGACACTAAGTACCCTGAAAGTTAGCTACATCGGACAGTTCCGTCGAGCACACCCCACGAGAAAACTCGAATCAATCCACGTTTTATCTCCAGAATCCAATAATAAGTACGAGCTTATAATACTTAGTCCATTTCATACAACAAGAGTTCTTGGAAATTACTTATTACAATACCAGAGTTCAAAGTGCGATAATTAAACAGCGAAATGAAAATAACATCTAGCGGAAACGATACAAGGATCCGTATTTGCCCACCAGAAGAATCCTCCACAGAAGAGCTACTCCTCAAGCTGCACATGGAACATGGTAAAATAAACCCTGAGTACACAATGTACTCGCAAGACTTACCCGACTAGTGAGAATAGTTTTCTGACTCCTAGAGGTATGATAGGCAATATGGGTTTACTGTTTTTTTTTGTTTGCGAAAAGCATTACTAGAAGTATGTCCTTAAGATCACGTTTAATTAGCAGTCATGATTATTTCATTAGCTAACCATTATAGGTAAGCACATGTTCTACTTTCAAGTAAGGGTTGAGCAATCAGAACCAATTTATCATCTTCCATATTCCAGTTCTTACTACGGTGCTAGACCATAGCCAAGTCGTATCGTCTCACGGAAACGACGATTCGCGAACCAATGTATCCCAGCTGGGTACCCCGAAACACACGCCCCGTTTGTACCCCAGGCACAAACAAGACCAACCCATTTCACTCCTGTCACGGGGTCCAGGTCCCCGTCCAAACTTGGACTCTAAGCCCCCACACTTGAGACCCAGTCTCTATATGGTGCTTAGACCTCCACCTTTTCCCGCCTCCAATCATTCGGTCCGGAAAGAGTCGGAACCCACGACAAAAGCGTAACGTGCCTTCCCACTCCCATAAGCAAGTATGTGCTTAGAATAATAAGTTTGTGACCTGACTACCTGATGAGGACATGACCTCCATACATATGACCATGCTTGAAGAACCATATGGAGACCAAGGAGATCAGCGAGGGTGTCCTAAGCGATAAGGAGGCCCGAAGCTCATCTGGTTCGAGTCACCAAGGTAGAGGCCCAAATCAAGTTCGAGTCCATCTCGGCCTCCAGGACCAGTCTGCCTTAAACTAGTCATCTAGGACACATTCGGACTCTGTTTTCGATGATCCACATATGGATGGAAAGCTAATTTGATAAGGAAGCCAATCCAAGTGGTCTCACGTTAAAATCTCTTCGAAATCAATGAGAATCATCGAAACAAGTCAACGTCCAGAATCTGTCAGGGTGCTGCGACACCATATTTTGGTCCGTTGGACCGTGTATCGTGTTTGGGCCAATTAGGGACGCGTCCAGGGGCGTGACACCAAGACTTTATAATTAGCAGCCGTCGCTCTCCTTAGGGTTAGGGTTTTGTTTAGTTCTTGATTTCCTCGTGAAACAGACGTCGTTTTGCTGCAACTGTCGCCGCCAAGGCCGCTTGCTGTGAACCAGGGCCCCAGTTCTTGATCTTGTTCGTCTGTGGCGATTAGTCCTTTCGAATAAATACTTGAACTCCTCGTTATCTTAAGCCTCATATTTATTTGCAATTTCAGATTGCGTTCATCCCGTTCTTGTTTGTGTTCTCGGTTCGCTTGCAGGAAAGCCTTCTCGACGAGGTCAATCGCGTTCGCGTGGTTGATAACCAACAGAGCAGTGGTATAACGATTGCGAGGGTCCGAATCAGCCTTGGTTCGAAGCCTAGATCGTGAATATCGAGTCTCCGCCAATCGACGCTATCATATCTTTCGGAAGATCGGGCCTAGTCTACATCACTACCATCCACAGCAACGGACGGTCCTCAATCGACACGGACAGGGAAAACAGTGTAACCAAGCTAAGCCCCGTGGCCGCGGGACACAACTCGTCACACCCACCAATACCCATACCATATTTCTGTGCGGTCTCTATTTTCCTTTCATCATTTTTATCATGAGAGTAATTATAATAATCACCTATTGTGAGTAACGGCAGGTTACTCACGCTATCGAAAACCTAAGCATAGCAGCTACTCGAACCTGTACTAGTAGGACTCATATGTAGATATATCTATGCATGTGATTTTCATAAGATTCCTGTAACGTAAATGCACATAACATATATATATACAGTGATTATAAAAAATAAGGGGTTATGCATCAGGGCTTGCCTTGGACAGGCGCGGT